TTGAATGATCAGAATAAATAATGTATTTTTAAATAAAATAAAAATTTTTAATTTATTTTACCTCTATGCCAAGTTAAAGGGGGTCGGTTACTTATGATGTGTACTGTATGTACGTAAACGACAATAATTTTGCAAACGTAATACATGTAATACACACTAAACACAATATCTTTCAAGCACTCTCACTTCCCCAAAAACTCGAATTACATGTATTCCTATTCTTAATCACTCCTTTCTTACTAGTACGTGGTAAACAAAATTATGTAATTGAACCAATTATGTAATTGAATAAACTATATTAACAATTTCTAGGAACAAGAAAGTAAAATGTTTTTTATATGTAATCCTGTATACTTAAATACACAAAAGGAGTGGATTTAAAAAGAACATAAAGTTAAGTTATTGTGCTTTAAAAACAAGATTCCATAATTACTGAACTTGGACGATAACGATAACGATTTTAAAAGAGCTCTATTCGAAATATTTTATTAATTTACGCACTCTTTTATTGAACTGTCAAGCTCTTTATTTTCGCTGGATGATTCAGCTTTATACGTAATTTCGTTTGAGATAATCAAGGTAGTATTCATTTTCTTATTACGTAATCAATACATTTACTCGAGTTATGAGTATTTGAGTCTTAAAATTTAGAATATTTCAGATAGCTTTGAATTTCTTTAGTTTCATTTTATAGTGATTATGTACTGTGTTTTTAAATAGAATCGCCATTACTACATGTATATGCACCTGTAAAACTTTTCACTTATGTATGCAAGCAAAATTGTCGTCGTTTAATTATGGAATCAATATTAAATATGTTTTTAGTTAAAGCATAACTATCAAAACTTCTTTGTGTTCACACATATATTTATTACGATTTTATTTTGTAGGGCTATGTCTGAAAGACCTGTGCTATGCACAGCTGATTCCATACTCTTTGATCGATCTCGCATCTTACTCGTGTCCATTTTTTAACGGAATTACTTGACTGCAACCTATTCAACTATGGATATACATAGACTGATCCTGAATAATTATTTTTGGTTTAAAAAAGAATCTTCATAGTATACATCAGACAATTATATTCTAGAAGTTATCTCATATTAACTATTCTATACTAACCATGACAAAGTTGTTACAATATTTACCAATCGCTACAAATTGATCCCTCAAGATAGTTTATTTCAGCTTAGTAATTATATTGAAGAGTTGATCAAAAATCTAAGGATCACAAGACTCTTTAATCTTAAAACGCAACTGAATATCGAAAATTACAAGGACATTTACCTTCCTGATGAACTTCACGATATTATTATAATACACCTGAGTCGGAAATTAGACTTGATAAGTACGAAACAGAACTCATAAATCGACTTTGGAAAGAAAGATGTGAAATTATTACATTTTAATAGTTTAAATGGGAAAACGAGTCGAGTCCTCGAACAAAAAAAAAATACTGAGTTTTCAAGACATTTTATCGTAAATTTATCATCGATACACCTGAAATTGTGATTGCTTCAGATCGAATAGTGACGCAGTTGGGCGGGATGGAAATTATATAGGATTACATGTGATCGGTGAGGAAATAATCTCTTCAAAAACAGAGACGTCAAGTTTTTCCCACTCCTCCTTTAATGCGATTTTAAGTTCGTCCTCGGACTTTGGAAAGACTTCATATATTTGAACATTATCCTTCAACACCTTCCAAATATTCTCAATTGGGTTTAGGTCTGGTGAATTCGCTGGCCAATTGATAGTCACGATTTTATTTTCCGCGAATAATTTAATTTTTTGATTTGTCCCGCCTTATAGATCGGCGCGTTATCTTGCTGGAACCTTACACGGTTCCCAGCTAATACCGAATGGTAACAAATTAGCTTTATGATTATGAGATAAACATCCGGATTTATTTTCCCACGTCATTTTTGTATTCATCACAAAATACCAGTGGTCCTTTGTGTCTTCCCGCAAACACCCCAAGCCATTACAGATTTTCGTCCGCTTTTATAAGTATGCACCAAGCAATTAGCATTAAATCTTTCTCCATGTGTCGCCAAACTCTTGATTGTCGTGATAGCTTCCCAATTTTCACACTCGTCTCATCAGAGAAGATTATATTTACCCAATCATAAGCTGTTTTATTTTGATTTTCCTCACACCACCTAAAACGAATATAAGCATGTGTATCCGAAATGTAGGGTTTCTTTGTTGCGACACGAGAATAAAGTCCGGCATCGTGTAATACATTTGCGGCAGTTGATAGACTACAGTTAAGACCTAAATAGTTGAAAATTTCGCGGAATGATATATGTCGTTTTTCATTAACTTTAAACAAAAATTTCGCAATTCTATAATTTTATGATATCACAAATTATGGTGTATCATAATTTTGTCCAATGATATTCAAATTTAATATTGCAAAATTACGATTACGTAACGTTAATACTAAATTCATGAATATCACTTCCTTTTTAATTGATAATTAAAATACATGTAATCAATGAATTACATTTTTGCATACTTAATATTTATTTTCACTTTTTTTCTCACCCTTTATTTTCTTTTATATATTTCTCTCTCAAATTAATCTTTTTGCTATTTGTACAATCTATATTTATCTCCAAAAAAAATCTTAATTCGAATTTCATTATCTTAAACCAATATTTTATTTTTATTTTTATTACTATTTTTATTTTTAATATTGTATTTCCTTATGATTTATCTCATGTTATTCAACTTTTCTTTAGAGTCTTTTTTTACTGTGATTTTATGATTTTTCTTATCTCTAGTCACTAAAATTTATATTAAATTTCTCTTGTATTTTATTTTTTATCATCTTGTATAATTTTTTATTTATTTTTTGGTCTTTGTTCTCCTTTAGTATTATCTGTAAATAGTGATATAGTTTAGAATGATTATTAATTATATAAATCAAAGAAACTATTGAAAATATATAAAAGAAAAGTTTTATATTACTATAAATTTTCATGCTCTGATCTAATAAAAATAACCAAGTTCTAACTTGTAATATCTTATTTGTGAATATACTATTCTTTTATAATTATTTTCAAATCTTGACTACAGATAGTGAATATTCCTTCACTCTAAATAAACTATTAATATTAGTATTTTGTTTATTTAATATTATTATTTTTAAACTATATCAATAAGTTCTGGTTATATTATTTTTAGTTATTTGTATTCTTGATAAGTTTAATTGTTATTTTATTTTGTTAGATATTCTCAATAAGTTTTGTAATTTTCTTTAGTAGTTTTACTATTTATTTTAATATTTTTTTTTATTTAATTTTTCTCTTTGCTCCTATTTTTACTTTTAATATTAAGTTAGTTTGTATATAAGTTATTATAAGAAATCTTTAAAATCTTTAGTGAACTCTATTAATTATAAACTATTTAGTCTTTGTTCTTTCACTATTATATTATTTTGCTAATTTATTAATTCTAACAATTTTTGAATTAACAAGAACAATATTTTGAATTTTAAAGAGATTTTAATTTAAATATATAATTATTAAAACAAATTTATTATCAAATAGCCTTTGATATAATCTATAATATTATGTATTTTTTTGTTCGTTTTATTATAAAAATTATTGTAGTTTGATTTTAATAATAAACGTGAGATCTTTAGCACTTGAAATATCACGTATATTGTTTTTGATTGGTTGAATTTCATCATGTAAAATTATATGATCATTTCTTGAAAGTATGGCATATATTAACTTATTTGGGGATGTGTTAAAGTATTGTACCTTCAGTGATCAGTCTGAAACACAAATCAATAAGGATGCGTAAATTTTTAATCAGCTCAGCAAAACAAATCCGAAACGCGAACGTAAAAATGAAAAAATACGAAAAATGAATGCTTAAATCTATCTTGGAGCACTATTAAAAAATGTCAAGAAAGTCAATTTTACATATAACTTTGTTCTTCGCTCTAATCTAACTCTAATCTTAAATCAACCTTTAATTGTAATACCTATGTGATCATGTGGATACAACGCTTTGACGCATATCCATATTTGGAGAACGGTTATTAAAGCGTAGTCCATCACATAATATATCTTAAAAATATTAAAAGGTAATTTCAATATTAGGGTTAGGGTTGGGGTTGGGAAGGAAATCAAGGTTATATTAAAATTGCCTTCCCGACATTTTTAATTAGTGTTCCAAGAAAGATTTAAGCATCTGTTTTCAGTATTTTTTATTTTTGCTTCAAATTTGTTTTGCCGGGTTGATTAAAAATTTACGCATCCTCATTGGTTTATTTTTCGAACAGATTATCAGGATGGACTACGCTTTAACCGATCCCCTTATTTGGAAATGATAATTCTTAAAATGTTTTCAGCAGTGGCGCAGTATTGATGCGACTAAGCGGGAACACTTTTGGGTTTTTCAGAGATTTTCATAAACTATTTCTCAATCCTCTTTTTCTAGCAAGATCTTTTTCATGTACGTAGTTATTGTAGCATATGACTAGGAATTGTACTTGTTGACAACGTTTCGGGTTGGGTAAGGATGAACATTATAATTTACCTATCATTTTCTAACGCTATGTTTTTTTTTGATGCTAACAAATTAAAAATTATATTTTTTTAATCCCTTTAACTTTAATGTGATTCTATAACGATAACGCGTATATTTTGCTTTGAATTCTATAATAATTTTAACGCAACTTTATATTTATATTTTCTCCAGATCCCATACTTATTCTACTGATTTTCTTGCATTTTTTTAATCGACAGTCAGTCAGTTTATGATATTCAAATGACAAAAAAGTACATTTATTACACTTAGCGTAGTAATCCTGTACCCGATAAAAACGCATGTACTACAATGATGGGTATTCGAAATCTTAAAATTCAAAGAGCATTTATGTAGTGTGAAACTGCAATAAGTTACTACCAATAACGATAATATTAACGTTAAGGTGATAAATATGAGTGAACTCAAAGAAGTTAGAAATTAACTCAAACACAGTAATATCGATATCGATATCGATCCCATGAAATTTCTAATGTTTAAACTCTTAAATTAAATTAAATCGACGACAATAAAAAGTTTAAAGTATAAATGTTTCATCATGAGTCTGTAGTTTTTCTTGAAAGTTACTCGACATCTCTTCGTTCCTTTGATTTCGTGTGGTATGTTAAAATCGAAATCGCTTGGAACAAACAAACTGACACTTGTCAACCCTAAACATTTGATATAAATTTAATTAACTGAAACGATAATATCGATATGATTATGTTTAGAAATAGAAAGTACCTGTCTCAGTTGGAATTGAAATTAGTTTTGTGGTAAACATTCGACTGGTTTGAGTGGATTTCTTGTTTTTTGCTCGTATTTGTAGGAATGTTCTTTTGTAATTCCATCTCCTTATCAAGTTCATCTAATTTCTGCTTTTCTAGTTGAACACACACTTCAATTTCTTCATCTGTTTCTGAACCGTAGTACTGAAAATGCAAAGTACTCAGTTCATATTCTTCTGCTGGATATTTGATAGAATAGATAAACCAATAAATTTCCTCAGCAGTTGGTCTGTTTTCTGGAATAGGATCCCAACATTTTTCAATAATAAATTTGCACCATCCGGGAACATTATAGGTCTACTCCTTTATAGATGTCTAATACGAGATCATTACTATGACTTCGTTCACCGAATGGTCGTTCACCTATGACAATCTCGTACGTAATCATCCCGAAACTATAAATATCTGCAACTTCAGTGTATGGTTTTCCATTAAGTACCTCTGGACTTATATAAGGAAATACTCCGCAAATTTCTTGATCAGATTTTTCTATATCTGCTGGGCCGGTAAGTGCTTTACTATAATACAATAATATATTTCCAGGATGAAAGTCACGATGCACAAAGTTTTCATTGTGAATTTTATGCAACTCTTCAAGAATGTTAATTAAATGAGTTAATTTTCTCCCCAATTTAAGTATCTTGAATCCATATATTTGCGTAGATCGTCATATTTTGCATAATCCATCACTATCGAGTGTTCGTTTATAGCTGGGTTTTTAGTTATTCCATAATAATTTATTTCATCGTAATAAGTACAGTACACTTTAGAGCAGTCCGAATCTAATTTTGAAAAAGTGAATTCGATTGAAAAACTAAAAGCGATATGCTTACACTTAAAAGGTGTTCATTTTACCTCGTTTATAAACTCGGATGTAACTTGCTCTGAATTGTGTAATGATTTCAACACAACTTTCAATTCTCCCTTTCGTTTAAATCTATTATCTTCATGATCCTAATCTCCATTTAATGGTCCGTCCAACCAAGTAGCTTTATGAATTGAACCAAAACCACCTTTTGCAAGATATTCAACATTGTAAATCTTTCAAAAGGGATCCATTCGAAAGAATAATATTCACTAGCAATTCTGTCGAATTCATTTATTAGTCTGTTGATATCTTTGTTCCAACTAGACCATTCAACATAAATTCATTTGTGATATAGAAAACATCCATCACAGTTCATATTTTTTAGACAACCGTAACATTTACAACAATCATGAGTAGTGCGAACTGAACACTCATCGCAGTAACCCCATCGTTTACAGTCCCAACAGTTATTCCTACAATCATGAATATTGTGAACTGAACACGCTTTGCAGTAATTAAAGTATTTTCTTCGACAACGCCAGCACTCACTACAATCATGAGTTTTAGATGCCATCTTTGAGTTTATTAGTGATTATAGCAGTGTTTTATTTAAAAAACGAGGATGTATATGTGGTGTGGAAGTCGTCATTCACTTGTGTTTATGCATGAAAAATGATACGTGCATTAAATGAAGAAGATTATTCATTTCATCATGAATACGTAATTTATACATATCGATTAATACACATTATCCACCCTCTATATGGATTCAATATCCTTAC